ACCCAGGCTCTTGCACGTTGCAGCATGCAGCCGCCTGCATCTCCTCCTGTGGAGAATGGAAAGAGCAGAGAGGGACACGCTTGGAGGCAGTGTCTGGAGGGGCAGTGCTGAAACCCCCTGATCTACATGGGGAGCGTGATGAAAGGGGTCTTTAACACTGTATTTATCCATGAATCTTAACTTAGCAAATAAGAGCTTGAACTTTTTAAGATGCATCCAATCCTCTAAAATACACATAGAGACAGATAGGTTAAATACGGACAGTCAAAAAGCTTGAGGCTAAATTGATTCAGTCTTTGCAGGCTGGTCTAAACTGCACAGATTAAATTGAAACAGAAGTGAACAGACATTCACTTTTGATTCAGGAAATACAGCCACATGCCAGCAGTGGATCAGGCCAGGTGCAGTGGGTGCTAGAGCATGGCTCTCTGGCTGTGTGTTCACTTCCTCTTCCTGCTTCCAGATGCCTCTGGGATTTGTAGTCCACACTTGCAACCAGCGGTAAGATTGAGCAGGGGAAGGGCTGTTTAACCTCCTCCCTGGTCCCAGACCCCATCCAGGGTTTATGTGGGCAGAGGGGGGTGGGGGTGGGGAGTTCCACTCCCTGACCCTGTAGACTGGGCTGCATCCCCAACCTGGCTTGCCTTCCTCTCTGCCCACCTTGTCAGCCAGTCTTCACTGCTCCAGCTAGGAAGAAAGGGCAGGCTGAGCCCTGTTCTCTGGAGTAGAGAGCACAGCCCAGCTCAGGGCTGCAAAGCATGCTGGGATGCTGGGGGACTGTGATTTAACTAGAACCGGGAATGGGTCTGGGAAAGAAGTTTCATAAACTGGTTTGACCCAAATCAGTTAAGTTTGATGCTACATTCAACCGGGTTTATCTTAAACCAGTTTCAGCCATATTGAAACTGTGCGCTGAGCTTCTGTTCTGTTACAGTTTTAAACCAGTTTCTGATCACTTAAACCAGTTTATGTGTAATATCTGTCCCTAGCCATACTTACCTTCCATCAGCAGGGCTCCCTGAACCTACATCAATGTCTCCAGGAGTGCTGGGTTCTTTTCTTCCTTTCCTCTCAGTCTCTGACAGGTCCTTGTTTCTGTTGTGCTTAAGTTTGTGTTTCTTTATCTCAATATAATAATTCACTGACCCCTTCAGCTTTTCCCCTAGAGCTCTACATAATACACGTCTCACTGTCTTGCTCTTTTAAATCTTCAATGTATTCCAAATTTGTTCTTAAGCATTAGTTCTCAGACATTGCACTTTGTTTCAATGTTCAAAAACATTTCTGCAGCTTTCTGGTTTGAAGGCAAGAGAAGACTTTTCTTTTAGCAAATTTCAAACATTACCACCACATTTCCAAGTGAGACAATCTTTTTCCTGCTCCCCCATTGAACATGGACTTGAAAGCACAAGTTTCCCATTGCTAAAACTTCCCAAACTTTCTGAAACTGGTCAGTGACTTTAGGGGTGTGACTTCTCTTCTAGGCTGTTAAATGAAGTAAAAGGGGTCATTTTAATGCAGACATTCTCAGCGCTATAGTTAGGGAGAGGTCTATTACCATCCTGCCCAGGGTGTTCATCTGGATGAAGAAATTTGCTAAGGATATAACCATGACAGAAGCATTTCAGACCCACATGCTAAGACTTGTGCTGTTTCTGACTGTGAAGACTCTTTTTTCAGTCACCTTACAGCTGTCCATCTCTGGTACCCCTGTCGCTCCCATTCAGTTTCTGTTTCCATCCAGTTGGAAGAAACCACTGCAGTTGTACAGGCATCAGCTTGAGCTCCAGCCACTCGCCCATATTGTGATCTGGCTTCAGAGCCAGAAAGCAGTGGGGGGTGGCTCTATTTATTTGTGCATTTTAATAGCTAATTTAAGGTTGAAAGAAGAAACCTCCATTGCGTTCTCCCTCCCACCCCTGATTTTTAAACCCTACCCAAGTGTAACGGTCACACCTGCGCCAGACCTGCCTTTGTGGTCAGTCTCAATGTGTGCATTGAATTGCTGCAGTTCTATATGATTGGCTAGTGGCACACTTAGCGGTTTGCTGTTTTTCCTGTGATGGTGTTTTCTCAAGCTCACTCATCTGCAAGGGATCAGCTGACGCTCATTAGCCTTCTCACATACTGAGCCACAAGGTAGAAGAGGAAGGCAGGTCTTTGCAGAGGCCAAATTGTTCATTTCCAGCCCTTACCAAACACTGTTTTAGCAATTCACTGGGCCCAAAGGGAACAGGGCCAGCAAAGAGCAGAGGATCATAGGAAAGCAGGGCTGGAAGGGACCTCACAGGGTCACAGCTAGTCCAGCCCCTGCTCCAGGCAGGATCAGCCCTGACTGAACCATCCAGGCCAAGGGTCCGTCCAACCTGCTCTTGAGCACTTCCAGGGATGCAGACCCCACAGGGTCTCTAGGTGCTTTCTCAGTGCTCGACCACCCTCAGAGTCAGAAAGTTTCTCCTCATCTCCAACCTCCGTGTTCCCTGCTGCAGCTTGAGCTGCTGCATCTAGTCCTGTCCTCTGCACCACAGAGAAAAGCCCATCTCCATCCTCTATGATCTCCCTTGAGTATAAATCCTTCCAGAACTAGTTGGGTTGCTCACAATCACACTTTTACACCAGTGAAAGCTTCAGTGGAAATAGGTTGCATTTGGCTTCACCCCCAGAACTCAGCTGAACAACTGAAGCTCCCTGCCAAGGTCAGGAAACAGAGAGAAAGGGCGTCAGTGGGAAGGGAAGCACCACAGAGGGAGAAGTCACTCCACCTGGGGAATAGCACAGGAAGAGCTGAGGCTGCACTGTATAGATGTCCCGGTGCACTGCAGAATAGCAGTGTCCTCCCCGGGTGTGAGTGGGGAAAAGCAGCTGTCCTTTGAATTCACAGCCTGGCTTACTTGGGGCTCTGTTGGACAACCCCTAAGACCTCAAGTGCCTAAATACTGATGCAAATGACCATCTGCTCTGGAGACATACGTTAGCTTGCCTCATTAGCAGAGACACTGAGGAAGGGGGAAAGGCCCCATGTTCCCAGCAGCCGTGTTTTATCACGCGTGTCCCCCTTTCCTGGCATCTGACACTGTCACCTCTCAGGCAAAGCAGAGAACAGCATGGGGGAAGAAAGAGTGAAGGAGCGATGGGAGCCTCTGGAGTGAGCAATGTGTGTGGGGCGTGAGGGGCAGCCAGGCCAAGGGAGATGGTGTGCTCTGCAGGGCTGATGCTGATTGTTGGCAAACCTCCACCCTCCAGCCTCTGCCCCCAGGAAAAGCCCAGACACACTCCTCTGAGGGATGAGACTGGATCCTGGGGGCAGAGAAAGGGCTTGGGAATCCCAGGAACTGCAGCCTGAAGGTTTCAAGGGGCAAACAGAGTAGACTCAGCTCCTAATCTTCCTCTGCTGTCCGCTTTTGCCCCAGCCCCTCGCAGTGGGTGCAGGCAGGAGGCCGTGCGCTACATGGTGGTGGGTCTCCTGGTATTGCTGATGGTATCTCTGACCTCCCTCTGGATTTCCATCAGCTCCAGTCCAGGTAATCCATGAATCCCAGCCCTCCCACACCTCTCAGCTCTGCAGCGGCAAATCCTGGGGCCCGGTTCCCAGGCAGCTGCACACTGAGAGCAGCTTGTTGGGTCCTGTCGGCCCGACTCTGCACAATCCTGATCCTTCCCAACTCCCCCACATTTCTGCAGCAGGGAGCCCCATCTCTAGCCCAGCCTTGGGTGGATCCAAGGAGCTGCAGCTTTCCCAGGGCTGAACCCAGGGAAGACCAGTTCGAATCTCCTGCATGGGACAAGGCCATTCCCAGGCTGGAAGGAGCAAGGGGGATCCCTGGTGCCATTCAGCTGGGGGAGGGGGCAGTGGTGCTACAAGCTGCAGGACTCAGGCCTGCTGATTTCCTCAGCTCCAGGACACTGCCCTGGGGCAGAAAGCAGCCCTAGCTGTGTGAGCTGTGCTAAGGGGCTGCTCAGTGGGGGCAGCGGGCATCCATTCAGGGATGTGGTCCCTGCAGTTCTGCTCAGGGTGTATTTATGCTTTGGGTCCCTTTGGCCCCTTCTCCCTGCTCTGTGGGGGTGACAGGGGCGGTAAGCCCTGCCGTCAATCCCGTTACCCACCACACACAGAATTCCTGACTGCGCGGTGCCCGGCGCCTGTGCAGCCCTAATGGACGCCTGGTTCATGCAAAGAGGTTTCATAGAAATCCTCGCACCCGATGGGAAAATGCCACCTGCTGCCATGCCCGGCCCAGCCCGGCACAGACTCGCTGTGGCTGGGATCTGATGCTGCCCCTGTGGTCACACAGGGTCGGGGAGTTTGTGCCCAGCCACAGTGTGATCCCAGCACCGCTGGAGATCCCGGATTCAGCCTCCATGGAAGGGAAACAGGGGAAGTCTCGAGCACAAAGGAATCGGGCCTGGAAACCCCCAGCTGGTCCCTGCCGAACTCCTGCCTCTTGCTCCCTTCACCACTGCTCCGTGGCGTTCACTGCTTCTTGGTGCCCGGGGATGATCTGTGCCAGACCAGCTCCACAGTGCGACTGCAAAGGTGAACTCTGCCCCCACTTTAGAGACCAAGAGCAGGAGATCCCAACCTCGGGTGCCAGGAGGTGGGAGGTTTCCTGCTGTGAGAGAGGCAGCGCGGCCGGGGTGACTGCAGTCTGCGGGGAGACGTTTCAGTCCCTGGTGTGCGCAGGACCCAGGACTGGGGAAACCAGGGCGGTGGGGCATGACAGTGGGAGCCTGCATGGGGCACGCATGCTCCCTGCTCGGCCTCACCGGAAAGCAGTGTCAGGCTGACTTCCTGGCCCAAAGCTGCCTGTACTTGTTGCCTAATAAAAATCATGTCCCGCCCCCTTTACTGTTTCCTCTATATAATTTTGGTCCTTGACATTGAAACTCATGGTCTGAGACGTGATCTCCTGTGTCCGATGGCCAGCCTCCCTCTCACCCTCCTCCCTTCACATGTGTACACACTGGGCAGCTGCTCGATGTCACGTGTTTCTTCCTCATGTACACGCATGCTCCCAGAGTTTTTATTTTAAGGCTGAACATGTGAATACATCAGTCACACAGGAACATTTCTGCTGCCATGGCTCACAACTGCATATTCTGTCTGCAACACAAGAGGAGAGATCTCGCATCAGTTGTGGGTAGCGCAGCCTGGAGACCCCGGCTGAGCTCAGCACCCCACAGTGCTTGGTGCTGCATAAGCACTGGATAAGGCATTGTGCTGATACGTAACGAAAGGTCAATAGAAAGGAAGCAGAAGGGGAATCTGAGGCCCAAAGAGGGGCCAGGACTTGGCGGTGATATTTCAGCTGCCCAGACTTGAGCCAGAAAGAGGACTCAGGAGTCCTGTCCTGACTGCCAAGGTTGATGTGTCCCATTAGATCACATGGCCCCATCCATTCACCTGCTTCCTGGGACTTTTTTCAGATTCAGAAATGCCCTGGCCAGGATTTTCCCTTAAAATACTCCACACAAGGTACTATGTCTCACCCAGGGACATGCAGCCACCTCTGGGGTGGGACACAGCAGTTCTGCGCCATAAACCCAGCACAGCGCTGACAGCAGCGGGGAAGAGGGGAATCAGTGATTACTATGGTGACTCCATCAAGTTGCTGGAGAGCTGACCTGGAGGGACCAGGCCAGGATGAGCCTAGACCCCAGTTCTGAGCATCTTTGTGACACAGCTGGAGAAGTAGTTACCTCCGGGCTCTGCCTCAGGTGCACGTCTTTCTTCGTTGCTGCCGCTCTCCCTGCTGGAGGAAGCAGAGCAGGGGCTGTTAGCGGGGCAGAGACGGGGCAGGGGTTTGACCCTAGAGCATGCTGTGGGCCTTACCTGTGTGGGGGCATTTGGTGGAGAGCAGGATGAGGCCCTGGATCAGCAGGAGGAGGCAGACGCAGGGCAGCCCCACCCAGTGCACAACCCAGCAGGGCCCTGTGGGGAGAGGAGACGCTGAGAGCAGGGCACAGAGCCTGCGGTTGGGAGTGGACGAGGGTCCCCAGAGGCTGCAGTGATGCCCGGGGACAGGTGTCACGTACCCACTGACATGGTGCCCAGGCCCTTGGGCATGGCAGCGCTGATGTTTCTCCTTGTTCCCTCCTGTCTGGCGGTGCAGGTGCAGCACGTCCCCGTGTCCCACTTCTCTTTGGGGACTGTTGTCAGGCTCCATGCACCTTCACCATCCTGGGCTCCTGCATCTGCCTGTCCTGGAGACCCCTCCCCGAGGTCCCAGAGCGGTGCCCCCCAACCCCGAGCCTGTGGGGAGAGCAGGCAGAGCAGGGGGACGGGGTCTGGGATCTCGGTTTCCTCCTTGGGGGAAGGTGCCATGATGGCAAGGCTGGGTTGGGCGGCATCTGCACGAGAGGGGGAACATCAGGGCCAGAGGCCATGGGGGAACACGGGTTGTTCACCACAGGGCAGCTTGTGCCCATCCCACCCTGGCAGGAAAGCTGAGACGCCCGGGGCTTTGTCTATTCCAGTTTCAATACCAAACCCCTGATGGGGCATGGACTGAGGTATTTTTACCAGGGGTTTCTTGTCTCATTGCTGGCAGGGGCTGCCTAGGGCACAGATCACAGAGGGAGACCTGGGCTGGTGGGAAGAATGTAAACTGGGGAGACAGAAAAGCTGTCTTGCTGAGTGCCCCTGGAGCAGTGTTGGCTGCAATGCTCTGTGCCTCAGTTTCCCCAATGGCCGTGAGACCTGGGAAGAAGCAGTGCAGCACCAGAGACATCAGTTGACACCTCCCAGGTGGATTCCTTCCCATCTACCTGAGTGCCAGCCCACACGGTTCTTGCCTTCCTCCATCCCTTCTCTCTGTGTCTCTGCATGAGGCACAGGGGGAAATCCACTGCCATGAACGCGGGGGTGCTCTCTGCCTACCACACTGTGGGTAGACGGGGAAACTGCCTGGAGCAGCCTGAACCATGACATGAACCTTCACACTGGACCTTTGAGCCCCACGGGCTGGAGGGGGAGTCTGCGGGACTTGAGCTTGGGGGGAGATTTCTCTCTGAGCACCCAGCTCCCTGTCCTTGGCTCTCGGCTGCTGAGGCTGTGCCGCTTGGAAATTGTGGCCGTGTCTTTGGGCTCCCACGTGAGCACTGCTGGGAGCTGAGATGGTTGAAATCCTGGGTCCATTGAGTGAGACCCAGAGCCCCGGTCTCCTGCTCCCACGCCCTGCCCGGGGCACTGCCTGGCCCCGGCTGTCCCTGAGCTCACTCCCAGCTTGGAGCTGACACAGGGGGTGGGGGGCAGAGTTGTGGGATTGGGGGCAGAAGTTTTTTACCTCCTTTCTCTGGACTGACAACTTCTGAACTGCTGGAAACTCACCAGAGATGATCAACCTGGTCCCATTCCCAAAGCCAGCATATGCATAGACATCAACAGCACAGTAATAGAGCCCAGAATCCTCCTCCTGCAGATCCCTGATGACTAGAGAAACTGTTTTCCCTGCACTGCTCACTTTACTTGAGTATCTTCCTTTTGCAGGTACAGATTTACCAGTCTGGGCAACCCACTGCAGACTGCTGTCCTGACGCTCTTTGTACCAGGATACAAGATAGTCTTCATACAAAACAGTGCAGTCCATCTGCACAGTCTGTCCTGAGGTCGTCCAGATCTCTGCTGGGTTTTGCTGCAGCCACTGCTGCTCCTGGGAAGCAGCCACTGCAGAGGAAAGCGCGGTGTATGCATGGGGTGATCAGTGCAGTCAGCTCCCCCGCTGCAACATCCCAGTTTACTTTCAGCTTTCACTAAAGTGACACAGTTGAGTAAACCATGAAATTACCTGTGATAGTTATGAATTGACAGTATTTGGGGTTATTGGGGAAAGCAAACAAGAAAATCACTCACTTGCCTCATATGAAGAGAATAAAATGGAACATCATATTGGATGATACATCAAGAACAATTAAAATGCAGGAATATGAAGTAGTAAATGAAGAAGGGGGAATTCTGTTGAATTCTGACCCTTCTCCATGTATAGAGCACCAGTGGTCCCTGGCCCTGAGTTGTCAGACAGGGGCCAAATTGTTTTTTTCTACCTTAGCCCATGATTCACCATTTTCCACCAATGCAGAAATCTGCTTCTCTCTTATTTCTTCCAAGGACAAACACAACCACAAATCTCTCCCACACGTATCATGCAGCTCGATGCCTGCCCAAGGAGCAGCCCTCACACTAGCCCCCAAAGCCTTGGGAGCTCCTTTCAGTCCTCTCTTCCCATACGATTCCTGTGTCTCAGAGAGAAACGACAAACTGAAACTCCAAGAGGCTGGGCTGAAAATTGTCCCCGTTCCAGTGTCCAGTGCAATATCATCACCCCCAGCTTGGACTGAACATAGATGAGGATCATTTGCTGCACTGCTGTGCTGTTTCCCAAGGGGTTTTTAATACACACATCATTGTATTACATCCCTCAGAGACTGAAACCTGTAACTCTCCCATCTCTGTCTCTCTGTAGCCCAGCCGGGTGTTTCCATCCTGCCAGGACATCCCTGTGCACACGGGAATTGTTCTTATGTGGGGAGAAAAGACCAAGGAGCTGAAAGACTTACCCTGCAGGGCGAGGAGCAGGATCCCAGCCCAGGGGCAGGACATGATGTGGTCTCTTCAGCGCTGGGAGGATGCTGTGAGGCTGCTCGATGGGTCTCTTTTTCTGAAAGCCTGGGTCACGTGGGAAGAAGACCTGTTTCCTGTCTCATCATGGAGGTGGGCATGTTGACAAGAGGAGGGGACACTGACCTCCAACATGCTGAGATATTTGATCCTTACCATTCCCTGCTCAATAACATCTGACCGGATGGGAGTTTCTTGCAAGAAGAAATCTTTCAGCTCCCCCCTGTAGCCAACCAGCCACCCACTGAATCCTATCCCAGTGTCGTCTCACCTTGCTGAGATGCTTCCAGGGCAAAGTAAGCAAGACCAGGACCTCGCTGACCTGCTGTCAGTATGCTTATACAGCTCTGTGAATATACCTGGTGAGGATATAACCCACACACATCTTTAAAGCTCGCACTGATGATACAGGTCCCTGTAAGTGCCCATATACAATGTGTCTTGGTATGTGAGCAGGGCTGCATGGGACTAGGTTGCTGACCTCGACTTTCCTTGCTCTTCCTTCCCCTTTGACTTGTCCAGCTCACTCCATTCACTGCAGCTCCATTTCTGTCTTTGACATTAAAAAAATAATAAGCAGGAATAGGGTACAGGGTGTGGCGGGCCAGTAGGGGGCGCTCCTGCGTTGAGCCGCCCACCTCCCTGCACCCGACCACCTTCCAGGCTCCGAGTGCCTCCCTGGGGTGCCTCCCGTCCGGCCGACCCCTTCCCTGGAGCACACCCACTAGCCTGGGGTTCCCGCTGCCACCATCCAAGGCTCTGGACTCACTTCTGGCTCTGCGCACCTTGGAGAACACAGGCCTGATTGTCCAATGGGTGCTAGACCCAGTACAAGCACTTGGGGCACTTCCCAAGTCAGGGGCTTATTAGGAAGCCTCCCTTAGTCCACTGACCTAAGGGGCCTCCTTGGCATAATTTAGACCCACCCCTCAATAAGTCTCCACACCGGTCACAAGGAGAACTTTATTGATGACAGGGGTAGGGCGGAAACAGGGTAAAAGGTAGAGCAATATCATAGAAATATTACAGGAATATCAGAGGAATCCCATGGAGCAAACCAGGGTGGCTGAGGTAGCCGTTTCAACACACATCTGAGTTACTGAAGCTAAATATCTGATTG